TATATATATATATATATATATTTTATATATATATATATTACAGGTCTTCCACTTGGGAGGAACAAGATGTGGCTAAGAGCTTATAACCCTGATCCATGTTCTTCATAATTCACCTTCCCCATCATACCACCATCACACTGGGTTTAGGGTATGCTGTATCCCTTTTACCAGTATTGCCAGAGTATAGTCTCATACTCTTAATTCTCCCATAACGCACCTGAGACTAAATTGAAATCCATTCATATATTTCTCCCTTCTCTTTTTCCCTATTTTTCCTTTCTTTAAATAATCCATTCATTCTGTGAGACTTTCAAAGCCCACAAGGAAATAGCTATAAAGTAACATGCAACAAGATGTCATTGCTGATAAAGAATTATTACTCATCAACTCTTGAATTCTGTACAGGGAGCCCTACCTACCTAGTTCATTTAGTATCTATTCTCTACCTCTTTATAATACCTTCAAGAACTTCTAGAGATCTAAGTGTCCTGACTCAAGAGAGGAGATCCAAAGTAAGATAGATGCTTCCTTGCCTCGCTGTAAGACCTGCCTTTCAGGTTTCAGTTTTCAGCCTGAAGGCCTGTCTCTTCCCCTAAATCAGCGACCTTAAACCCATGTGCCGCAAGAATTTTGACAACATGCAATACCTGACTGTTTAGTCAGGGGCACCAAACTCTTTTCCCTTAGGTTGTCAAATTAAAAAATGACAATAGCCAACACAACAATAGTCCTGTGTGAATGAATGAAAATTATACCTTATTTTTTGTGTGAGATCAGCAAAATATATATATATATTAGAGGCCCGACGCACGAAATTCATGCAAGGCACTTGGTCCTCACGGCCCTGGCTGCCTTGCGGCCCCGTGGCCCTGCGGCCCTGCCCACTGGTCATTCCAGAAGGTCGTTCTGCCGTCTGGTCTAATTAGCATATTAGCTCTTTATTATATAGAATATTTTAGTGTGCCACAGAATTTGAGTAATTAGTTTATCTGTGCCATGAGATGAAAAAGGTTGAAAATCACTGTCCTATTCAATTATATTATTATTATATAGAAAATGGTAGGTGTCATACTAAGACCCTTTATTCTAACATCATTAATAAGGGCTGTTTCATAGCATAATTGCATATACTTTGCTGTAATTTTCTTTTACAGAATTATTTGCCAGCTGTATTCCAAATGTTTTCAAAGTTAAATCAAGGTACTAGAACACATGGCATTTCCTACAGTGTAAGACATGCCCCTCCCTAATATAAAGCATTTATTTCAACATTGAGTTTTCAACCACAAAAGCATGTTTTCTTGTTTGTTTGTTTTTATCCTCACCTGAGGATTTTTATTTTATTTTATTGATTTAGAGAGAGGAATGGAGAGAGAGAGAGAGAGAGAGAGAGAGAGAGAAACATCAATGTGAGAGTGAAACATCAATTGGTTGCCTCCTGTACTCACCTCAACGGGGGTTCAAACCTGCAACCTAGGTATGTGTCCTGACTGGGAATTAAACCCGCCACCTTTTGGTGCACAGGATGACGCTCCAAACAACTGAGATGCCCAGCCAGAGCAAATACATGTTTTTAAAAATTATACAAATGGTAAATTAAGTAGGATAGGGAATAAAAGTAATGCAGATTTAGTGCTGAATAAATTAAAGCTTTCAATCTTATAATATAACCTTAGGTTTCTCCCAAGGCACTGTACATCAGCATAAATTCACACATATAAAGATGAGTAGCAAAACAATAACAAATCAGTTATCCCTCAATTTTTAAAAATATATTTTATTGATTTTTTACAGAGAGGAAGGGAGAGGGGTAGAGAATTAAAAACATCAATGAAAAAAAATAAAAAATAAAAAAAAAAACATCAATGAGAGAGAAACATTGATCAGCTGCCTCCTGCCCACCCCCTACTGGGGATGTGTCCGCAACCAAGGTATATGCCCTTGACCAGAATCGAACCTGGGACCCTTGAGTCCGCAGGCCGACGCTCTATCCACTGAGCCAAACTAGTTAGGGCTCAATTTTTTTTTTTTTTAAAGCAACAACTGAACTGAACTGCATTATTTGTAGCCTGCTAAAGAGAGTGGGAGATTTTTTTTATTGTCAATGGCTGTATAATATAGTAGTCTTTGAGAAAATATTTTTAAAATATAATCACCTGAGAATCTCTCTGGTGGGAATTCTGAGGAGAAACAGGAAAGCAGGAGAAATGGCAAGAAAGGGGAATAAAATAACTTTCTTCACACTCCAAGCAAATGGTACTTGTGGTATCAGGTCACAGAACTGAGCTGTAATTTCAGCAATAGGGATAATGAAGGTTTGCAAAACTTGAGAATACTAGATAACCCAGTGGTCCTCTGCAAAGATCTTTGATGCATCAGCAAGTAACAGATGAGTTTGCTTAAGGATGATCTCAATTCGAAAAATCATTGACAACTTGGAAACTGAGACACATGCAATCTCTGGCTCATAAAACACTTAGTGCTTTCCCTCCAATAAAATTAATCAGTATAACAGATATTAAGTGACATCTATCATTTGCCAGGTAATATGATTATTAGGTACATAAATGAAAAATATTTGATCCTCAAGGAGTCTTGAATTTAGTGGGAGACATACCAGCAATTCCAACCAAAACATTTAAAAATTGACATACTGGCAGTATGCTAAAGGTCTACTACAGTGGTTCTCAACCTTCCTAATGCCGCGACCCTTTAATACAGTTCCTCATGTTGTGGTAACCCCCAATTTCATTGTTACAAATTGAACATAATTAAAGCATAGTGATTCATCACGAAAACAATATGTAATTTTATATGTGTTTTCCGATGGTCTTAGGCGACCCCTGTGAAAGGGTCATTCGACCCCCAAAGGGGTCGCGACCCACAGGTTGAGAACCGCTGGTCTAGTGGACTGTAAGAGGAGTGCCTAAGAGAGGTGGAGGGGGAGAGGTCGATGGCAGAAAAGGCTTCTCACATATATGATTTTAGATCTGACTCTTGAAGGAGACATGGAAGTTTGCTAGGCAGAAAAGGATAGAAGACATTCTAGGTAGAGAAAACAACATATGTGAAGGCAAGAAGAGAAAACATATCAAAAGGCAAGAAATATACAACAATATAGGCCAGTGATGGCGAACCTTTTGAGCTCGGCGTGTCAGCATTTTGAAAAACCCTAACTTAACTCTGGTGCCATGTCACATATAGAAATTTTTTGAGATTTGCAACCATAGTAAAACAAAGACTTATATTTTTGATGTTTATTTTATATATTTAAATGCCATTTAACAAAGAAAAATCAACCAAAACAAATGAGTTCACGTGTCACCTCTGACACGTGTGTCATAGGTTCACCATCACTGGTATAGGCCTTGCTACCTTGCCTCAGGTTCACTCAGAAACAAATGGGACACTTGAAAGATTATCTGAAAAGGGTTTAATGAAGTAACTATTTACAGAAATGTGGGAGAGGTCAAGGGCACCAACAAAGGATGGTGAAGCTATTCAGGGATAGTAACAGTGGGAAGCCACTGACCACCTGGCCACAAGGGGCAACTGAGGGGATGAAATCTCCAGAACCTGGTGAAAGCCGTAGCCATGGGGGGTGGAGCTACCCAACAGGAGCCTTGATCAGAAGCAGAGGAACACAACCAAGTCACAGCCTGGCTTGGGGTTGGGGGATGTCCATACCTGTTCTCCCTTCCAGTCTCCAGCAGGCACCTCCCACTGGCTGAACCCCACTGCAAGCCAGACGGCAAGGGAGTCTGGGAAAGCTTTCTGTAAAGGGTCAGCTTCCTGAGGCCCAGAGAGTGGAGACTAAATCTGGAGATGCAAAAAATCACTTGCATAACCTTGGCCAGTGTGGTTCAGTTGGATGAGTGTAGTCCCATGCACCAAAAGGTTGCCATTCCAGATTGCAGGCTCCAGTGTGGGAGGCAGCCGATGTTTCTCTCTCTCTCCCTCTCCCTTCGTCTCTCCCTAAAATCAATAAAAACATTTCTTTTGAAAAATCATTCCAAACAATTTTCTGTTTAATAGGGATAGCATAGGACTATATACTAGTATATAGCAAGTTTGCCCTTGTTTCTTCTCTAATAGAAAGGAGCTTATTTAATTTAATGACTGGGAGATACTCTTAAGATCTGGTTTGCTAGCAACCTCTGCCCTTCACCAAATCTTTCTGTGTGCCTATTTTTAACCACAATGATATAATAGTTATTCTTTCATATATTTAAAAATAATAATCCTAAGACAGTGTGAGAAGCTTATTTGTCTATCTGAAAATAACGTTTGTTGTCAGTGGTTGTTCACTTAAGACACTATATACTTGATTTATAAATTCTAGTTAAATCACAGAAAGGTATCTTCAAATTTTATTATGGTGCAACTTGTCCTTTTACAACATTTTTTTCTCTTTATTTTTCAGGTCAATAACTCGATCTTATTACCGCAACTCAGTTGGTGGATTTTTAGTATTTGACATTACTAACCGACGATCTTTTGAACACGTGAAAGATTGGCTGGAAGAAGCAAAAATGCACGTACAGCCATTTCGGATTGTATTTTTGCTAGTGGGACACAAATGCGACTTAGCTTCAATACGTCAAGTTACAAGGGAAGAAGCTGAAAAGCTGTCAGCGGACTGTGGTATGAAGTATATAGAAACCTCAGCAAAAGATGCTACCAATGTTGAGGAATCCTTCACTATCTTGACAAGAGACATCTATGACCTTATCAAAAGGGGAGAGATTTGTATTCAGGATGGCTGGGAAGGGGTGAAAAGTGGTTTTGTTCCAAATACTGTGCATTCTTCTGAGGAAGCAGTGAAGCCCAGGAAAGAGTGCTTCTGCTGACTTCAGACATGCCAAAGAACCGTCAAGAACCGGTGGACGTCATTCCAGGATAGAGACCACCATCAGCACTGTTTTGTAAGGTGTTTGATCCAGAGCACTATGCTTACATGTTACACTACAAGACTCGGCGTTTTGCTAAAATATCAGACAAAGCAGACAACTTTTTCTTGAAACTATCAACTTACCCCCTTTCCTACTTTGTTAGCTTATAGCTGAACTAATGTCCAAATATGTCAATATTACTCATTTTTCTTGACAGTTTGAAATGGGGTTTTTGTGCATATATAGTCTGATTGAAAAGATTTTATCAGGAATTATGTTCTCTTGTTCACTTATTAATATTGAATAGTAAAGTGATTTAAAAGTGCACTGTTCACTTACACATTAAACAATCTCAGTTATCAACTAGACTAAAATAGCAGTTCCTTGTTTAAGGTACAGTACCAGGTTTTTTCAACATTTAAAATATTTATCTTCCCTTAATTTTGCCTAAACATAAAAAAATAAGTTTTATACTTTTTTGTTCTCTGATTTATTGCTCCTGAAAAGTTTATGTTTTATGAAGCTATCTAAGGATCCACGCAAAATATTGTATTGCAAATATTTATAATGATAAAAACAAAGGACCACTTATCAGCGAATGTTTTGATGTTATAGCATACTGTTTTAGACAATAAAATGAAATGTATTTCTATACTGACATTTTCAAAAAAGTAAATGCAATTTACCTTGAACTATTGTCAAAATTACCATATTTTCCCATGTATAAGACGCCTCCATTATAAGATGCCCTCCACTTTTCCAACCCCAGATTAAGAAATCAATATTTTAAACATTTTGCTGGTTTTTCTCGTAAGGCCTTCTTCTTTTTTGGCATCTTAAGGAGTTGTTCATGTTTTCTCCACTGTCTGATCATACACTCAGTGGGAGGAGGTCCAAATTGTCTCTCTGCAGCTCTATTTCCATGCACTTTTGCATAGCTAATTTCATTTGAATTTTGCAGAGTAAGACAATCGCTTACCGGTATTTATCTTTTTGTTTTCTGACATCTTTATGGGCTTAGAATGCTCTGGTCCCTGTTGCATTTACGCACTCCCACCTCCACCTCCAATTAAGGCATCAGCTGACATCAGTAACAATAAGGCTTGTGATTGGAGGAAGCATGTTTGACAAGGTATGGGCAGCTATGCACCCGCAGGCTCCCTCCTTGGCTGACTTCCATATAGAAGACGACTCTCAATTTTCAGTCTAACAATTTTAGAAAAATATAGCATCTTATACATGGAAAAATATGGCATCAATATAGGTAAATATAGAATGCTTTTAGTAACTGCTTTTTTGTCCAAGTAAATTTCTAAATTTCCCCATTTCCAATACAAGTGTAGGAAAGATTTTTCTGGTTAGTTGCTTAGATGTTAGATACATTTAGCATTCAAGTTATATTTTACATCTCATTAGTAAAAGTAAAGACAAAATAATGAGTTAAGTCTACAAAATGACTTTTGAGTTTCCTAATTTTGAACTTACTGGTTAAACTCCCCTCCTGGAAGGGACATTTTGATGACAATCTCAAATATTTTATAGCATACATTTCTATTCTGTTCTGTAAACCATTCCTATCACAGAGTGGCACCATGAAGTTGACTTTTTGGAACCATGAGGTTTTTACTGTTAAACTGTAGTAGCTTCATTTTGTTTGAAAACCAAAGTGGTATGGTGGAAAGAATATGTAAGGGGGAATCAAAAAACCTGGGTTCTAAGCTTGCATTTGCTGTCCTTTGTCACTTAACCTCTCTAAGCATCCGTTTTCTCACCTGTAAATTGAAGCTGATGATCCATTTATGGAATTACTTTGAGAATCAACTGAATGATGTGGAAAAGCTTTGTAAATAGAGAAAGCAGAATACAAATGTGGGATTGGTGTCAGCTGCTCATGGGCATGCTGTTCTATTTATAAAGGATTAGAATGTGGTTTTCTCATGTTCTTTCCCTGCAGAGAGGAAGCAGAAGGAGGTGCATGTTCTCATGGACCTGGGGGAATTCTTGGTTTGATGAGTACCCTCTGCCCTCTTATCCTGAAGCACCACTCCTCCAAAGAGCAAATGCTAGAAAGAAAAATCCCAGGAGACTTAATTGAAGCAAAAGTCATATTGGAATCTAGTCTTTGTGCATCTTCAAGATAGATATTATATTTTTAAATACATGTACATTTTCTAGGTTCATGTAAGTATTTTTAATAGTGCTTATGGAGAGAAAAAATATAAATTATAACATCACTATATAATTTTTGAATATTTATATTGTCAACATTTTCTTGATAGCCTTAGATTAATTTCATGTGAGTTCACACTATAATTGACCAGATAAGAAAATACCTGTCCCCAAAATGTGAAGTAATCTATTTTTACTGTTAAAAATTTAAATCTTATAATTTTTCATCAGTCCAAAATGGCATAAACTCAAAAAGTGAATATCTAACGAAAGGTGAATAAAGTTAAACACCTAAAATATAAAATGTGATTTAACTTTCAGTGGACACATTTTTTAATACTAATATTTGGGCTAAAGGGTATGATCTGTTCCAAGATTCAGAGTATAATTAAGGAATCAGAAGAAACAAATGGGAAGGCAGGGCCCCAAAAGTTGGTAACTACCAAGGTCACCCGTGAGCAGAAGCAAGCCTAGAACGCTGGTTCTCCTTACACCTTAGTCGGTGTTCTTTCCATTGCCATGCTGTGTGAAGTGTGTATGTGTTTGTGTGTGCAGTGGAGAAAAGGGGAAATGAGAGCTAACTGAATCCACAAAATACTAAATTGGGCTAAACCATTTTGAGGTTATAGAGGAGCTATTTATGGTAAAACAATTTTAAAATGAACAATGACTACAAAGATCTGCATTCTTATACAAGATTGCCAAACATGTGTATAAACGTAGCCAGATATCTTTATCCAGAAATACATATATGTATACATATATAAGGATATAAAATAGCTGACCTATTTTCTTATACAGAATATGAATAATAATGCCAAAATAGTAAAAATATTTGTTCACGACCAAAGTGTCTTAAAAGTCAGATATACATAAATTAGATACAATTGAAATTATTTAATTTATAATTTATTTAATTTAAATTTAAAAATTTTAAACTACTGAATGATGTAGCTAATTACTAAATATTTTAAATAAATCTGATTTTAAAAAATAAAAAACTATCCAATCATATGATACACTTGTCCCTGACAGAAATTGCTCAACTTGAGTTGAATTAACACTTTTAGTGCAAGTGGTGATGTGATGGTTCATTAAATGAGAAGCTTAAGCCAAAATGATTATGTAATCATAGTGCTTTTAAATGTGGCCTTTATATACATAATAGTAGCAAACAAGATTTCTTGAGCCTGGAATCTTGAGAGTTTACTCCATGATTTTTGTGTGTGGCAACCAAAGCCATCTTTATTATTAAGATAACTTTACCAATCTATTTATCCAACTTTACAACATCAAAAAACTGAATCTGTGGATTAATAAAATCATTTTTAAGAGTGCTTTTGTCAGATTTTATATTACCCTTTGTTCAGTTAATTACAAAGCTTCCATTGACTTCAAAAAGTGCACTACACAGGTATTTGAATAATTTCCTTAGGTCTGAGAAGGATTTGAAAGACTAAAGGTCCATTTCATAAGCTAACTCGTTTTTCCCAAGTAACTGCCTGGAGAGATTTAGTTGGAAATGCAAAGAAAACATGTAATCTTTAAGAGGGGGGGGGGGGAAGATTGTAAAGGCTTTAAATTTAGATCCTTTGTATTTTAATATAGAATACATTCCCAACTAGAAGCTAGCTTGGAAATTCTATAGCTGAAAAATAGCTCTCTCTGCTTCAAAATCTTTCTAAATCCAAATGTATTTCTATAATCCTAATAACCAGTGAAAGTAGACACATGAGTGATGGGCTATGACAATCTCTATCAATCACTACACTATCTAGTTCACTTACTACATGTAATTATGGTGGGGAATAAATGAAAAAAATTTTTTTAAGATTTTAAAAATTAGCCCTAACTGGTTTGGCTCAGTGGATAAAGTGCCAGCCTGCAGACTGAAGGGTCCCAGGTTCAATTCCGGTCAAGGGCACACACTTTGGTTGCCAGTCTCCAGGGCGAGTGTGGGAGGTAACCAATGAATGTGTTGAATATGTCTCTCTCTCACCAATGTTTCTGTCTCTCCCCCTCCCTTCCACTCTCTAACAATCAATGGAAAAATATCCTAGGGTGAGGATTAACAACAACAAAAAAAAATACTTTAAAAATGTTCCTTATTGTTATCTCTCTGGGTAAATTTTTTTGCCTTTTTTTGAAATAGTGCCTAAAACATTGTGACATTCAGTAAGTTTTAATTGATGGTTATTATATTGAATTAACCCTATTAAATTTTGGTTCCATATATATATAGTTTTAATTTATAGATGCCATTCCATTCCATGAAACAAACATGTTTTGCTAAAATCATATCTTGTCTTTTTTTTTAGAATGACAGCCAATGGAAGATATGGTATAAACTTTTTGAAGTATGTTATTAGTGTTATTTTATTTTAAATAATGAATAAAAGAATGAGAATGAGAACTATGATTGTTACATATCCATCTTTAGTGAACCATCTTTAGTGGTGCTTTTAAAACAAGCAACTATTTAACTGCAATTAAATGCATGTGTGTGTATTCACAAATTAAGTGCAAATAAGAATCAATTAAACAGATGGAATTTCTTATATATTACATAATACCTTTGTGGACTGTGGGTTAGAACCCCATAACCAAATATTAGTATACTGGAAGGCCAGCGCATGAAATCTCGTGGCCCCAACCACCCGCTGCCCCGCCCTGTTTGCAGCCCCGCCCACCCTCGCTGGTCTTTGGTCATTACAGTGTTAGGGCCACAGGCCTTTTATAATATAGATATGCAGCAAAATGTATGTATAAAAGTAAACACAAAATCTAATGAGTTCAGGTCAGTTATTTTTGTTGCCAAATGAGTTATCAAAAGAATTAGGTTTTTAGAGCTTTTGGATTTCAGAATTATTGAAAAGAAATCATGGTCATGTACTATGCTTTAACAGATAATTCAGAATTTGTGACTTTTTCTACTTGGTTCATCCTTGTCATGCTTCAGCCTTGCACACAGTAGAAATTTTTTAAATTTTGAATTGAACTGTTAAATCACACGCAAAAATTGTTCATAACTTGTGCACATATAACCAGTTACACATGTAAAATGCAGGGTGGGACAAACGTATGCTTACATTTGTTTGTATGGAAAATAATACAATAATTAATAAATAATAATGTAAGAATAAACTGTTTCACACACTCACAACTGTAAATCTACATTTGCCCCACCCTGTATTTACAACAGTGTTTGGCACAGATTAAGCACTTGATAAATGTCACCTTTTATTTTTGTTTTATTTTTAGTATTACTCTTATAACCACCAAGTTGCCAAGAAGCCAGTTATAATCCCCATGGTGGGCCAAAAGCTAATTTTGATACTAGCTATTAGAAATGGTCATGACTCTTTGAAATGGTCTCATTCTTAGAGTCAAGGAAGAATGCCTTAATATGACAAACAGAAGGTGATATAGCTCTTGGGAATAGCTGGCAATGACCTACATCATCTAACCAGATGGATAGGTGCTCAAATGAGGGTGGGCTGTCACGTCTCAGCAGCAGTTATCACCAGAACAGTAAATGCATGTGCACAGTGTGGTAAGGACTGTGGGTCAAAGAACTGGGCTTCTGCCCTAGCCAGGTTGGCTCAGTGGATAGAGCGTCGGCCCACAGACTGAAGGGTACCGGGTTTGATTCTGATCAAGGGCATGTACCTCAGTTGTAAGTTCCCCGGCTCTGGTCAGGGTGTGTGCAGGAGGCAACCAGTTGATGTGTCTCTCTCACATTAATGTTTCTCTCTGTCTCTCTCTCTCCCTCCCACTCTCTCTCAAAATCAAATTGAAAATATCCTCGGGTGAGGATTAACAAAAAAAGTTTTGGGCTTTTTAGCCTGTTATGTGTGAAATGATTATTAGTACCATTGTTTTTTAAAAGATTTTTTGGTAATAGCTTTATTGACATATAATTATTACATAATTCATCCATTTAAAATATACAATTAATTTCATAAACTCAAAGTTGCAAAACCATCACCACAGTTAGTTTTAAAACGTTTTTGTTACCTCAAAAAGAAATCCGCAAAACCTTTAGCTATTACTCCCAACACCCCTCCCCACCCCCACACCACCTGAGTTCTAAATAACCACTAATCTACGTTGTGTCTCTATTTGCCTATACTGGATATTTCATATAAATGGAATCTTATAATATGCTGTCTTTTGTGACCAGCTTTCTTCAATTAATATACTGTTTTTAAGGCAGTACCATCATTTTAATAAAAGTGTCCCAGTATGTAATAAATACTAGCTCATTGTCCATTTCAGCTCTGCCTTTATTTTTTGAAGTTATTTCTATATTTATTGATTGCTTTACTAAAATTATTAATTTATACTTTTAAATCATAACTATGCAAATAAAATAAAGAAATATGCTTGTTATTCAATTTGCTTCACTAACTTTGGTTTAACAAGACAAAAATGATAGGAACTAGTTGACATATAAGCAGACTGTGTAAGAAATATTCCTCAAAATATTTGAAACCTAAATTTGCTTATGTAATTTCATTTTTAGGAAATATTACACACATAAAAATCTGTAATGCAGTTTTATATATATGAGGCATTTGTCACTGAAACAAGAAATTCACTGATTCAATTAATATTGTATAGTTAATATTGCATTTTAATGACATAATAAGTTAACTATAGTTTAGATGATCAATAACTTTTTCCTGAAATATTTATGCTGTTTCAGGCACTGTTAGAATTGTCAACAATGAAAAGAAAGCAGGTTCACTCTAAAGGAAGTTATTATCTAAAAGAGTAGAAAAGCCATTCCACTGTAACAGTTTGAGAGGTCAGGACACTGTGCTGCAACGGACAAAAGAAGAGCACCTTAGGCAGGTTTCATAGTCAGAGAAGTCTTCTTCAACCAGACAGAAGGAATAATTGGACCAATGAAAAGAAATGAGGCAGACATGGAAGAGTCCCCAGCAGAGGAGATGGCAGTGAAAAGACCTAGAGGTTGTCCACATAAGAAATGTCCAAGCCTGTAGAGAATTTTTATAAGAGTTTACTTTACAGTGAAAAACATTTAATTTTTTTTAAAAAGAATTTATCTGAACTGAATTGATGACATATACTGGGAAGCAAGATCTGAAATGCTCCCTCAGCTCTGCCTTTAACAGGCCATTCCAATGCTCTGTCAGGTCAGCAGCTTCTGGGAGGTGCAGTATGTGATGCAATCGTCATGGGCCCACTTTGCATATAAGTGGGACCTTAGTCTGATGTGATAATACATGGCATGTTGTGCTGAGTAACTGCAAGAAAGGCAAACCCATGCCAATATATGTGTTCTATTCCTGCCAGAATTAACAGTTGACCTTTCAACCTAGTCAATTTGCCACCAAGGAGCCAATTATCCTCAAAGGATGATATTTTTTTAATGACTCAAGTGTTGGTCTCTTCTGAAGGTAGATTTAACTTTCAAAGGTACACATTCAGCCTTAATAAGTGGGAGCCCATGCTGTTGGGTCTAAGCACAGCCTCCATTCCTGCCACCCTGACCACTTGCTCATGTGTCATTCATGCCAGAACAGGGTGGCATTGACAGAGGTTGGTTGATGCCAACTGGTGGGTAATTTTCTCTATTTGGTTGTTTAGTGCCTCTTCTGAGGTAGCTTTGGCAGCATTAATATAATAAAAAAGACCTTCTTACTTTGTGTCCTCTCCCATATGTTCATCCTGTGCCTCTGTCCCAGACTTCTTTGTCCTAAATCATCCTACTTTCATACCCCTAATCAGATAACCATGCCATTCACCACTGCACAAGAGTTTGTATATTTTAACTTCATTCCATTTCTCTTTCTACATAAAGTAAATGACCAAATTGCTTGAGAAAAACCAGAACTGGACAGTAATTAAAGCAGTAAAGACAGATTTTACTGAAATGGAGGAAAAGAATCCTCACTATAGAACTGAGTTTCATTCCAAATCAACAAGAGAAAGTGGAGATTTATAACAAAGCAGCAAGGTGGGACCAGTGGGTAGAAAATTACTAAAAGGAAATATCAGGGGATTCTGGCTAAACAGACCTACCAGGATTCTGCTGAAAGAGGGCCAGGGAATCCAGATATTACCAGGGAGACGATAAGGGATGAGTAATTTGATCAAATATCAAGAGTTGGGTATTTGGGCTAAATTGGCTTAGTAGGGTTCCTGCTAAAACTGGGCTCTGGGACATGCCCAAGGACGAGGCCTACTCAGGCTCAGAGGAACCTGACTAAATTTGGTCAAAGAGAGCATCTTTGTCAAAGTGCACCACTCAAAGCTCTGCACATAGGTCAATGTTCCCTGACGACTGCCTTTCAAGGCTTTGGTGCAACTGCTCTCCGTTTTGGCCTACACATACTGAGCCAACCCATCATGAATCAGGCCTGGCCTTTTTTCTCCTTTATCAGTTGATCCTAAGGCCATAGATGTAAGTGAAGGAAGAGGTGCACTAGTGTTGGATGACATAGGTTTCCAAGCTTCCTGCCTACAAAGCTTGCTTCTGTTTCTACTTCTGATCTGTCTTGAGCTCAATACTGGATGCATCACTTCTAGCTTATAAAAGTGTTGCTGTACTTGGTGGCCCTAATGGAAACCAACTCATGAAGGGCCATTGTAGCTACATGGTCACTCAGTACTTCATAATCAGGCACTTCACCTCTACCAGTGCCAAGTATCATACCAGAAGTTGTTTTTTAAAAGGCATATAATTATCTGCTATAGATGGAACAACTTTGATTCAGAACCAGAACTCTAGGGGCTATTTGAGAATTCTCCCATTGGGTCTTGCCATAAACTCTACAATGTGTCTTTCCCACAACTGATATGTCTAATGGTATAGGTCTGCTGACTTTTGGTCCAAGCAGTAGGGCCACTTGTACTACAGTCTGAACCACTTCTATTTTTGGAAATCCGGTATAAGGGTCAGAGTATTATTGTCTGCTATGAACTAAGTTGTCTTCAGAACCCAAGAGACCTACCAGGATTTGCTCTTTCTTCTGCATGATAAGAGGAGTAAGATGCAACAATTTGTTCTTTACTTTAGATGGAATGTCTCAGCATGTATCTGATCACTTGACCCTTAAAATTTTCTACTCTTGTGGCAGGTTCCTGAATTTTCATAGGGTCTATTTCCAACTTCTGAAGTACATGTGTCTTATAAAGGTTCCCAGCATGATAGCTAGTCATTTGTCATAAATTACACAACTTACCAATTAATCAAATGATGTTGTGCAGCATGTTAAGATAGCCTAGACTAGATCTTCTTGTACTACAGTATGACAAAGGACAGGAGAGTTAACATAGCCCTGGGACAAAACTATAAATTTTATTGTTGTCCATACCAGGTGCAAACTGTTTTTAATTCTCTTTTCTGATGTAAATAGGAAAGAATGTATTCACAAAATCAAAAGCCATGTGCCTTTTATCTAGGACCATGTTAATCTACTCTAGCAAAGATAGCATATCTGGGACAATGCTGCAATTGGTATGATTGGGGCTACAGTTGGTTGAATTTGGTAATCTACTGTCATTCTCCAAAATCTGTCTGGAGTATTAAGACTGGTGAATTAAATGGAGATGTGAAGAGAATTACCAGCCCTAAATTCTAAAATCTTTAAGAACAGCTCTAATTCCCACTATCTCCCTCAAGATATAGTATTTATCCTCTTGGCCAGGGCAGATGTGCACTTAGAGAGCTTATTACTTGGCCTTCCCCACTGTGCTGGCTTTTACCCCACAGACTAATGACCCAATATGGTGTTTTGTGAACTACCAGGTAAGGCTTCCCAGGCTTAGAGAATTCAGGGGAATCTAGTGATTCAAGATTTCCTAGGTCTTCAAACTAGATGTGTTCACTCCATATGTCAGGTTCCCATTCTTTTTCAATTAACTCTTTTTGGAGCTTGGCTACTCTGATGATTAAGTCTTGGTTCTGGTCCTTGGCTTTCTCTATCCTCCCATTGTAGAGATGAAAGCCTCTCTGTAAGCTCTCAGGAAGACCTGGATTTCACACTTAGTTTCCAATGGGCAATTAATGCTCCCAGCTTTTCATTATTTTTTTCTAGTTCTTCATGATAACCGATAGCATTGTCCTTACAGTTACTATAGTGACCCCTCATATAGTTTGCTTAGATTCTTCAAATGCCTCATATACTAGTATCTCACCAGCCAATTAATTCCCTTCCACCATATATCAAACAATTCACCCCTGGAGAAAGTTTTAACAACCTGTGATGTGTCCTTATCATACTAGTAAGAAGTGATACAATTCCAAAATTTCATTTTGTAATTGCTCCTTTATTAAAACTCTTCTGGTAACAACTGTCACAAGATGAATTTCTCAGGAAGCTGAGACAACTTTGGCTGAGATGACCAGTACTTTATTCCTTTTTGTTGATAAAAGTTGTCCGAGATGGGTCTTCCAAAAGTGGTGGGCACTGGATGAGGTGAGGGAACTGACAGCTGGATGTTGCCTGCTGACAGCAATGCTGGGACAGTAAATCCTTCATAGAAGGGACTCAGTGTGGGTATCTCAGTGCCCACCAGAGAAGTTTATGGTATAAGTTCAAAAGACTTAAGGGCTACATCAAGCATATGTGTTATATTGATCATATGATCCTGATTCAACTATAAAAGTTATTATGTGAGAATCAGAGAAACTGAATACTAAACAGTGACATTAAGACATGTTGATTTTTAGGTATGATCATGGTATACAGTCATGTTTTCCTATTCGAGCTCTTTACCTTTTAGAGATATATGCTCAAATGTTTATAGATGAAATGATGGCTAGCTGGGATTTGCTTCAAAGAAATAGGTTGAAGCAAGTTAGAGGATACGTGGGACAAGAGTGACTATGAGTTGTTGGTATGGATGGAAGACAAAATAATGCCTCCCTGCCCGCCAAAGATGGCCATGTCCTAATCTCTAGAACCTGTGAATATGTTAGCTTACATGGCAAAAGTGTTTTTGCAGGTGTGATTAAGTTAAGGATCTTGAGATGGGAATATTACCCTGGATTTTTCCAGGTGGGCCCCATATAATCACAAGTGTCCTTATAAGAAGGAGACAAAGGAGTCAAAGTCAAAAAAAGGAAAAGAGCATGTAATAATGGAAGCAGAGTCAAAGAAAGAAGATGCTATACTGCTAACTTGGAAAACGGAGGAAGGAGCCACCAGCCAAGGAATGAAGGAAGCCACTAGACTAGAAGATGAAAAAGGCAAGGGACAGATTCTTTCCTGAAACCTTCAGGAGACATGCAGCCCTGCTGACACCGATTTTAAAATGCTGACCTTCAGAACCATAAGAGAATAAATTTGCATTGTTTTAAGCGACTAAATTTATAGTAATTTGTTATAGCAATAGAAATCGAATACAGTAGATATATGAGGATTTAATATGCTATTTTTCCTACTTTTGTGAAATTTTCTATAATAAAAAGTTTTTAAAAAAATAAAAGAAAACCAGCATTAAGAAATAAATGTAGCCCAGTTGGTGTGGCTCAGTGGTTGAGCATTGACCTATGAACCAGGTCAGGATTCGATTCCCAGTCAGGGCACATGCTCATGCTGTGGGCTCGATCCCCAGTGTGGAGCATGTAGGAGGCAGCCAATTGGTGACTCTCTCTCATCACTCATGTTTCTCTCCTGGTGCCAGGAAGCAGTGTAGTCTTTTGAGGCAGACTCTTTTTTTTTTTTTGTGATAGATCTGGGAGGTGTCAAAAGCCCTCCTCTCTCTCTCTCTCTCTCTCTCTCTCTCTCTCTCTCTCTCTCTCTCCTCTCTGAAATCAATAAAAAATATAATTAAAAAATCAATAAAAATATAATTTAAAAATAAATAAATAAATGTAATAGGAGTTGAAACAAACCTGGGCAAGTCCTCCATTGTTTTTTTTCCCCCCACAAGGGAAGGGGTTCACTTTATTTTTTAAAAGCCCCAGGAGTTATTCTATTATAAAGGGACATGGCTGAAGAGGTAGGAAACAGATTCCCCATTGTGAGTTCTCCTGATGGCTTCTGCAAGAATCATGGAGATGTCGATCACTTGTATTTTGGAGCAATGCTTCGTCTTATCCTCCTGAGGTATGGTATTGGTGACTACTACTGCTTCAAAGTATGCATTGTTAACGCGAGAAATGGTGGAGCCAGAACAGATTCCATGAGGCATGGAAACGTGGAACAGACTGATGAATCTCTGAGGGAAGGGGAGAGGGGGTGTGGTAAGAAATTAATCAATGCCGAAACCGGTTTGGCTCAGTGGATAGAGCGTCGGCCTGCGGACTGAAAGGTCCCAGGTTCAATTCCGGTCAAGGGCATGTACCTTGGTTGCGGGCATATCCCCAGTAGGAGATGTGCAGGAGGCAGCTGGTCGATGTTTCTCTCTCATCGATGTTTCTAACTCTCTCTCTCCCTTCCTCTCTGTGAAAAAATCAATAAAATATATTTTAAAAAAAAAGAAATTAACCAAGGATCTTATGCATATATATGCATTACCTATGAACACAGACAGTAGGATGGTTAAGACCTGGGGTGGGGCTGGAACCAGATAGAAGTTGGGCAATGGGGGGGGGGCGGGGGGAGAACATATGTAATACTCTCAACAATAAAGATTTTAAAAAATAAAAACATACAGACACGCTGAAAGATTTACACAGAGAACATAAGTATATCTACCACCTAGATTCTGTTATAACATTCCACTATACTTGCTTTGTCAAACTTTATATGCAACCATCAATCCATCTCATTTTTTATACATTTCAAGTAAATTGTAAACATAACTTCACTTACCCCTAAATTCTTTAGCACAAATATCATTAATGAAATTTCAAATTGTTTACTATTTTTTATTTTGAATGAGATGCAAAAATCTTAAGGGTTGAGTTTTGACAAGTGCATACACCTGAATCACCCAAATCCCTACCACAATATAGAACATTACATTACCCCAGAAAGAAGGATTACTTTTAACTGTATTCCTTTTAGCACCTCCTGAGTTTTATACGATGTGCTTGTGTTTTCTATTTTTAAATTAAATATTCAAACACTGTACCTGCCTGGGTTGCAGGCTCACTCCTTGGCCCTGTTGGGGGCGCATGCTGGAAGCAGCCAATCCATGTTTCTTTGTCTTTCCCCCTCCCTTCCACTCTCTCTACAAAAATCAATGGAAAAATATCTTCAGGTGAGGATTAACAACAACAAAAAGTCGTTACAGTCAACAAAGTCCTATACAATTTTACGCTCTCCTTACTTTTTCTGCTCTGAACACATCACCCTTCTCACTGTTCCTTGGACCTTCTGGGCAACTTGCCACCTGAGTCCTGGCTGGACTGCTCTTCTCCCACCTAAGCTTGGCCTTCTTCCTTACTTTCGTTGAGTCTTTGCTCAAATGCCATCTGCTCAGTGAGCCCCACCTGGCTCACTCTATTTAAAATTTCAAACTTCATCCCCCTCCCCTGGTTTATTTACTTCTAACACTGTAAATCCTGTTTGTAAACATGCATAATACAATATTGTATTGTATTATGTAGGTTCTACATATAAATTATGTTTTCTTCCCTTGGCCAGTGGCTTGTGGTCTGAAGGGATAAGGCTTGGGGGGCTCACGGTTCAGAAGCTGCTAAAATAATGTGCCTTCAGGAAATCCAAGGTTAATAATATTCACTGCTTGATCCATCTTTTATAGATTTCAGTGCCGGGCACTCTTGAATAGAATAGTTAGTACGTTGGTGCATTCATCCACTCATATATTCATTCCACAAATATGTACTGGGCGGCTTCTACGTGCCAGTTCATGTTGAAGACAGCTGTTAAAAGCATTTCATTCGGGATAAGGTACCTCGGGATTCCGGGCGCGGGACGAAGGAAGATGCGCGGTCCCGCCAGCAGAGGGCGCGCTCCCGCCCCTTCGCCGCCGCCGGGCCCACCTAGGCTTCCAGGCTCCCACGCTCGCTCCCGAGCGCGCCCCCGCCCCCGCCCGCCGCGTCACGTGATGCGGCCGAGGAACCCGAGCTGCCGGGCCTAAGCCCAGCTAAATTCGGAGCCGGTGGCCGCCGCGGGTGCACCCACAAAGGCTAACCCGAAGGCGTGGGGAAGCTCGTGGAGCCGATGCTTCCTCTTCCAATTCAGGTCGGCTCCCGTTACCTTCTCCCTGTTCGCCGGAGCGGCCTCCCTGAGCGTTTGCATGAGCTCTTTCGTGTGGGGCAGCTGCGGTGACCATGTAGGGGAGAGAGTGAGAACGCTCCAGGGACTTGGGACGAGGTCCGCGCGTCGGCAGGCCGCCCGCTCCCGCCGCACCCGGTGCGGGCCGCTGGGCCCGTCGGCCCCGTGGGCACCGCGGCCTCCGGCTGCGGCCTGGTCCCGAGCGCCACGAAGTCGCGCGCCGTCTCGCGAGACTCGAAGTTGAAGGAACATGGCGACGTCTAATCTGTTAAAGGTAAGACCCTCCGTCCCGCTTGGCTTCCACTCGGTGACCGCTGGGTTCAGCTCTTCGGGAGAGGCTCGGTTCAGGTTCCGAGCGGGGGGGGGATGTGGGCGGTGTCTCACGGGAGGGAAGCCGGGGAGGCTGCGGCCGGGGCCCGGACCGGGACGCGGGGCTCCGGCCTTGGGGTCGAGAGGCTCCGGGTGTCCCTCCCGCGCGTTGACCGGTGTGCGGAAGGCCGGGCTGCGGGCTGACGGGGGTGATGCTGGCGGGGGGACCCGCTGTGGCCTCGGGCGGGAGATGAAAGGAAGTGCATGTGCCCCGACCGGCCAGGCAGTTGCTACTCCTGGGGTCTCCGTTTCTTCTGAAACGAGGGTGTAAGGTGCATACGAGGAAAATCCGAGGAAACGCTGCCCAGCATCGGTCTCCGTTTCTGCTCTCGTCCTCCGCCCGGATTCCGTGTCCGACGGCGGTGCTTCCACCCCACCCCACCCCCTGCTGCACGCTGTCCTCGCCCGCGATCGGGCCCCGGTTCTTCCGCGCCGGCTACCCCTTTCCTTCGGGAACTGCGCCCCAGCCCATTGCAGATGAGGACCGAGGCAGTGCTGCCTCGTTGTAGGGCTTAGCCTGGAAGCGTTACCTTTGTCAAAGAAAACGGCTTAAAAGTTAAGTTTTCTGTATCTGGGAGAGCCAAGGCGAGCTAGGCCCAGAGGGGCAGGTTCTCTGTCGCCGGTGACCGCGTTGGGGGGGGGGGGGGGAAGGAGGAGGAGGAGGAGGAGGAGGAGGAGGAGGAGGAGGACGACGACGACGACGACGGGGCCCCTCGAGTCTGTCTGTCCTGTGCGTGTGTTCCCAGGAGGAGCCTTGTGCCTGGGAAGTCTTACAGCGGTTCTCAACCTGTGGGTCGCGACCCCTTGGGGGGGGTGTCGAACGACCCTTTCACAGGGGTCGCCTATAAGACCATCGGAAAACACACATACCATTACATATCGTTTTTGTGATTCATCACTATGCTTTAATTGTGTTCAATTTGTAACAAGGAAATTAGGGGTCACCACAACATGAGGAACCGTATTAAAGGGTCGCGGCATTAGGAAGGTTGAGAACCACTGAAACCGAAATAAATGGGGGTGCGATGAGCTCGGGGAGCCTCAGTGCAAAGGGTGGGCTCCTCGCCCAGGTCATCGTCGGACGGTGTAGATGGATATAGGAAACAACTGGGTGGAAAATAGGTTAGCGTATCCTGACACCCCTCGCAGGTCTTACTAACTGTCCGGTAGATGGGACTGACTAAAGGGGGACCTATTTCTACTAACCTAAGAGGTAGTGTGTGTTCTTTTAAATTAAAGGGAAGAGGGGTCTAGAGCCGGACAGTTTGGGCTGCTTAGGAAGCTGTTTGACCTTAGGGAAGTTTCCTGACCTCTCTGCCCTGTAGAATGGGATTATTAATAGCACCTGTTAACTAGCGTGAAAGTTGAGTTGAATGACTGTAAAATGCTTAAAACAGTGACTGGCAATGAGTATGCAATACACAAATCACTAGAATTGCTACTCTGGGCTGTTTCTCTAAGAAAAACAATTCATGGGCATTGAGTAACCCGTCCTTTTCAGCTCTTAGAACAGTATAGCAAAGTCCTAAGATATTAGTTCAGAAAGAACACTTGTTTGCCTTCTAAAGACGACTGTTAGTGCACCCACATGCAATATACTAAGAAGTGCTATCTCGTCATTAATTGAAATGTGTCCAAGAAACGATTGGGTTCCTGATTCTTTGTGAATTCCTGACTTGATTGCTTGCACATATACAACAAGGTCTTTTTCCCCAAAAAATCCTCTCTCTGAAAAGAGCGAGTTGCTGTATTTGCCCCCATTCAAAGCCTTGCCAAGGACTGGCTGGAGGAGATATACTAAATCTGAAGCTGGTTCAGTCAACACGAGTAAGTCCTTACCTTGTAGAGATGATGAGTCTACACCTATAGCATACACCTGCCGAGTGAAGGAACTGTCTGAAGGTACAGAACACGAGTACTTCGTGTTTAGGTTAAAAAGATAACAAGGATTCAAAAGTTCTGTGACTCCCAACAACTTTTATAAATAAGAGGAATGAAACAGTGCTTTGAAACACTGCTAATGACTCGCTCTAGTGAACATGAACACAGATGCCAAAGATTCACTGGGATCTTTTCAATAAAATTGTTTTATGAAATGTTGAACGGAGGGAAAAATAATTTCTAAATATTATTTTTAGTAGTGTGTGGTTTTAAATATGTTCCACTAACATAATATAAAGGACACTATAAAGAGACATTTAATTCTTTTATCTGTTATCACCAAAAGTTTACTTTTTTTCCCCCAAAAGTTTACATATTTAAAGGGAAGCCTGGGAGGCTGGAGCTGCGGACCGGGACCAGGTTCCATAACATAATTCATAGGATCATTTAAATTCCAGGCTGGTGGTACCTTGAATAAAGATAGGGCTGGCTAGGGTATGGCCAGATTCACCTCATTCCTTTTTCTGACAGAATTAATAGATTGGTTCATTAGAAAAATACTTTAGACATTGTGCAATTAGATTTTACCAGAGAGAGAGAGAGAGAGCGAGAGAGAGCGCGTTTTATTGATTTTAGAGAGAGGAAGGGGGAAAGAGAGGGAGGAACATCGATCGGTTGCCTGCCATTCACAAAACCTGGGTATGTGCCTGACCGGGAATCCAATTGGACAACTTCTGGTGTGTGGGATGACGCTCCAACCAACTGAGCCAGCCAGCCAGAGCTTCACTAGAACATATTTGACAGAATTAGCATGTCCTGTGGTCAAAATGGAGATATGTGAGCTGGATAAGAATTTGGTTAGAATTTGATTCATTATCAGTTAAATAACTGTACCTGCAGACTGGTGACCAATAAGCTATCATCAACCCTGAGGGAGGCCTTTAGTGTCCGACTTGAGGAAAATGTCCTCTTTCTGTTTATCAGTAACTTGGATTAAGTTTATTGAATTTGTGGATGACAGACTTCAGAAGGATAGTTAATATATTATGACTGATTCAAAACTTTGATATGAAACTTACAATAAAAATCACCTACTTATTTTAAATATTGGATTTTGATTGTAATAACAATTGTATTCTTTATTTAAAGAAAGTGGACTATTGCCCTGGCCAATGTGGCTTGGTTGGTTGGAGTGTCATCCCATACACCAAAAAGGTGACAGGTTCGTTTCCCTGTCAGGGCACATAACGAGATGGCGGGTTTGATCTGGGTTTGGGGGAACATGCAGGAGGTAACCCAGCTATGTTTTTCTCTCTCACATCACTGCTTCTCTTTCTCTCCTTCCCTCCTCTTCCTCTCTCTAAAATCAATTAAAAAAATTTTTTTTAATTTAAAAAAAAAGTAGGTTGTTGCTGGATTTTGGAAATCTTTTGGATAATACAAGATTTGCGTTGTACATTTTGACATTCAATTATCAGTTGCTTGGGGAGTTTATAACTTTTTAATATTACTACTTGAAAATTTTGTTTTAACGTTTAATGTTGCTTGTTCCTTTTGCAGTTACCATCTAGGCCCTTGGTGCTTATTTTCTTCATTTCCAATTGAGTATCCTTTTCCAAATAGCAATTGTTTAAATCTTATTTTGCTGAGCATCGCCCCATTTAATTCTTGGCACATTACTTTATCAAGCTATTTGGAGTGCCTTTAACTTCCTTGGTCAATACCACAAAATTTTCTGGTTTTCCCTATGTTCTCTTTTCCAAGGCACCTTCTATTTTGCCCTCTTCCATTTGTTCTGCCTTCATTTCACCCCTACGACCTGGCAACATACTGGCAACATATCTCCTGATACTGTGTTTCAATCTCCTTTATTCTTTGGAAATAAAAAAAGTTCATGTAACTACTCATATAAGCTTAACCTGTGCTCTGCTTTGCCCTCAAACTTTTATTCTTTTTTCTCTTTCCATTCACTGTCACAGTTCTTAGAGAAGCAGCCCCCACTTGCTGCTTTGTAATGCTTCCCCTTTTCCCTTAACTTACTGTGACTTGGCTCTCTTCCTACCCTCACACAGTTATATTGAAGCTATTAGTCTTAAGGGGTCCAGCAGCCTCCTCACTGCCAAATGAGATCCTTCTCAGACATTCGTCCTCTTTCCGGATATTGTTGATTACTACATCTGCTTCCCTTTTGGTTTCTATGACATTCTCTTCTTGATCTCCTATCATTCAAATCACTTGTGTTTTTCACTGACTTCCCTCTTCTTCTCTCCTCCCCAATGTAATTATTTCTCAGTATTTAATCTTTAGCCCTTTTCTATCATTGTACTTTCTTTTTGGGGTGGGGGGGCAGTCTTAACTCCCATGATTTCACGATT